GATTTTGGTTGAAGCTAGATCAGAGAGACTGAGACATGATCTCCACGTGACTGAAACCAAACCGGTCAGGTTTCATAATTAGTTCTACACTTATACTAATTACAGATCATGATTACCATGTACAAAGCTTGTACTGTAAACATGACATTTCTTTCTCTACAGTATCAAACCCTCTTCTTATACGAAACGCAGCACAAAATATTGTCTCTGTAAATACTATTTCTAATCATGCTTCTTATAATCACTTACTATGCTTCTTATAATCACTTACTTTTCTTGATTCTCTATGGATTTTACATCCATTAATTGTTCGTGGCGTTGTTACTAGGCCATTGCGATTTGTGAAGAAACTAGTAGAGCTTAGTGGACAGGGAGTGACGACAATCATCGGAGGACGACACTAGGTTGCAGAAGTCCACAACGTTAGGCTTGCAGCATTCACTTTCAGTTGCATACATGTTTCATGTTCCACGGGTCGCAAGCTATTAAAGTTCTTCCGATTAAGGGTAGAGTAGAAAAAATAATGTAATATACTACTCACTTCCACATATGAAGTAATTTTGTTTTCAAGTGGACTACTAAATAGAGGAGTAATTGCGGTTCTGCCTTATGACAGGGGAGTACCTCCCAAATGCACCGAACTTGGATTTTTTCTTACTCATGGAAAAGGTCTTGGAAAATGAACAACAATTGCACGTACAACATCGGAGAATTGGCACCATGGAAAAATGAAAGGTATGTCACTTAATTCGTTGATGTGATGCTTATATCTTAAATCCTTTTACTATTTTTAAATCTTCCAACAAAATGTATTTTATACAATTTCAACAACTTATAGGGGTTCATCCATATCCGTTTACGAATAATTACTACATCATTATGAAAGATTTTCATTTCTAAACTTTTCTCCTGTCTATAAACAAAGTAAAATTAGAATAAAATAACCTCTTTTAATCACATTTAATGCATTTTTAGTAATACCAATCACAAGTAACTAGTATTTCACCCGTGCGATGCACAGGATAATATTTACTTATAAATTCAAGATGAAATAAAAAATAATTGAATGGGTAGTTTGTTATTTTATCTTTTAGTAATTCATTTATATATTAGAAGAGAGCTAATAATGAGCAGATTAAGTCGGAAAAACTTGATCTTTGCTACTTATTTTTAAAATAATTTTTTCGTTTCTCCCTTTTGACAAAATTATTTACAAAACTATCATTTACCATTTGTAAAATATGTGAAATTTTACACTGAATAGGACTAAAACATAACTCATTTCTCAATGTAGGACTTAAACTTTTTTATTCTCTAAATAGAATGTAATAATGTCTAGTGAGAAGAATAATGCCCAAGTGATGCTGAACATTTAGTTGAATAATGACTAATAGATAATAACCAATGATCCTACATTAGGAAATAAAATAATATGGTCCTATATTGAAAAAGTCATTTTTTCAATGAAAGGATATTAGACTTATAAACAGCTTATAAGTTAAGAATTATTTATCAACAATAAAGCAATAAGTACCAACACAGAAAAAATACCAACTATGTAAAAATATGGAAAAGAGAGTAATTTTTTTTATTGAAATATCTATACAAAAAGAACACTACTACCAACTTTAGGCGTAGTATTATATACCTCCAATATATGCTATTTTATAAATAATGTGAAGGATAAAATCTCAAATATATGCTCCAATTGGTAAGCTATAAAAATTCCCCACCCTCTATATTTGAAAGGCCCTGCATATCTTCTATTTCTCTCATTTTTGTCCATCAGATGTCTTCAACATCATCTGTTGATACACGCAAAGAAATCATCTGCCTTCACC